TGTTTGTACTTCTATCTGTTGATTCCAGTGTATCTTCGATGCCACGGTTTCAACGTCAAGGATCACCCAATTTTGAGAGAACTGGTACGTTTGCAAGTCTTTGGTCTTTAATTGTGATTTCAAAACTAAAGTACTTATTCCCTGCCTCTGTGATTTCTACTTCTGAAGATTTTGAGTTTAATTTCCATTTTGTCATCGTTCTGTACGCGGCTTTCTTGTAGGAACGATTGACAGCTTGCCTAAAGCGGTGCCAGAATATTTGCAGCAAGCAAAGCACCGAACTTAGCCACTCCCGGTTGGATAAGGAAGCCTCCAAGCGCTTTGTTAAACGGGCGCTTTGGCAGTCGGCCCAATCAAAGACAAAAAAACGGAGAATTGGGGGTGATAATTGACTTGAACACCCGTGAATATCTGTTACAGCGCTTATTTGTACTCTGCGCTTTCTATTCACCTGAATTGTATAGTTGAATCTCAATTTTATACTCATTGAACTCGATTTCGTAAACCAGCACACCATTTACTGGTTTTGGCCTCCTGAGACTTAGGTGCTGTTATGATTCTCTATCTAGGTGCTTGACTTCAGTGGCTTTGGTTTTTGGGTATGGTGGTAATCGGTGGAAATGTGGAAATGAGTTCATTCGATTGCGGTATTGATGCGACACGGGCAGGTCGGGTTTGCGTCGACGTAGAGGGCTATGGTTTTGCATGATATTTCAGTGCATTAAACATATCGGATGGGGAGGGTTTCCTGTTAACTCGTTTCCTTTGGCATTTGCCACCTAGAGATCGTCTGTGCTGTGTAAATTAGGTTCACTTTAGTCGCGCGCGCCCGCTGCTGTTGGCCCCGAACTTAATAACAAGCATCTTCCACAGAGTAAAGGTCCTGATTTTGTAACAACTTGATTGGATTTGGCCTTATTTTTTTCTTAGCGCATGTTCACACCACAGTGTGGAAACTGATTGCCAAGTATTTGCAAATGACGGTACACCCTACGTGGGTCATATTTCGCCTTAGCTTTTATTTCAACTAAGTACGATCATTCAGAAGCATTCCACCTAAGGATACCCTTGAGACCTTCCTAGCCTGATATCAGTGGCGAAGGATACCAATAAAAGTGCTATAATCGATGCAGCACTTCTTGTCTACTTACTTATTAAACTTTTTAAAAAAGTCTGTTTCTCGGTTCGCCATAAAATCCTTCCCAAGATATTTCTGATTTTAATCAACTTCGTCTATCTCGACAAGGCTTCATTTGCGCAGTTAATAGTGCCATTTGAGTAGGCGGAGGTACACGCACGAGCATCATCGCTTGGAGACTTCAAACACGCTCCCACAAATGGTATTTTTCGTATTGTGACAACCGATTCGAATAACTGCGTTTCAGCAGCATCATAGATCATATCTCAAGTGAAAGCACTCAGATCTTGCGCAACACTGCCTTACTTGAAAAACCAATCGAATCGGAATCGCCAAGACTATGTCCCTATATAAGTCGTCGCTTGGAAGGAGGATCTAAGATCATTCACATTTCCCTCAAGCCGGTATGTTGGCGGTAATGTACACTTGAATAATGCCGATTTTTGATGCAGGACAACTTTTTTGAAAAATACAACTTTGGAGTTATTGTTTTGGCCTTTTAATAACTGTCAAGTAGGCACCCGCTTAAACATTAAATTAATCGTTAGACACTGACCAGTTCCAAAGGGTGCTCAAGCACCACCTATCAACCACTACTTCGACCTTTCTTTAAACAATACGTAAGAATGTTTCCCTCAGGAATAATTATTTGATAATTTTGATTTTTTTATGGACCGTAACTTTAACTTGTTTCTCATCAGAAGACTTGGAAAACAGGCCAATGTCACCTTCACACCTCTTTGATCTTGCTCTTCTTCTGACTGCATTCGCCGCCGTAGATTCGCTAAAGATCAAGTTGAGAGAGGAGGGTTTACGGACAATCCCCTCCGAAACTCAGCCAAGTTTCCTGAAAAGACTACAAGCACTTAGAGACGGTGATGTAGACATCCCTGCCCTTTTTGAACTTTACGAATTGGAAAAGCGCCGCACGATGCCCTACAGCGGTGGTATTTTTGGACGCTAACCATCTTGTTGTGCTACGAAACAGCTCGTGTATTTCTCTGATTTGAGAAAATTTATTTGCAGCTTTAGTTAAATAGTACCATATAATACAACAAAACTTGGAATTATCTGTTTATATGCTCTTAACCTCACTCAGATACTCTTATGAGGAGCATTCACCAACTTTTTGGTTTAAGGCAAGAACATCTCTTGGAGTACGGGAGGGAAGAAGTCGTCTGTGTATAATCAAAATAACCACTGATGAGGTTTTAATTTAGCATTAATAATGCTATCGCTTACTTTATGGCGCAATTGTCGATGTCGATGATGCATTGTTGGTGCATCACTGTGATTACACTGACACTTCAACTACCAAGTTCAATTAATGGTTTAATTAGTAGGCGTTAAAGTATAGAAGTCCTTCATTAACACACATAAAAATCCAATGTGCTAAGATCCCAGACCCAACCCTGGTGGCGATTAAAGCAGCTAGAAATTGTATGCTTGCGCCACATTTTTGTCATCCTTTTGGGAGAATGGTGAAAATCGCTGTCATTATATGGGGAATTGCTACTGCTTGGCTGTAAGCGTGCATATAGGTCACCAACCACTACAATAACTAACAATTTGAAATCGATTTTAGCAAAACCAAAACGGTCTGCTACACTTCATTGGTGATCCAGGCCCATTTCCTCCAAAACTTCGTATAGCGGACATTGCCCAAGCAATTTCTACTTTATATGTTTTAAGTTGTTCAATAGTTGCCACGTCGGAAACAAGTTTTGATCCATTTGGCAAAATGGCCTGAAGAACTAGAAGGCAGCGAGAAGACATCTCACCTTGTCTTAATGCCCTAGTAGTGCAGTTGAACACTAGTGGCGAACGAACAATTGATTGACTCTGGGATAATTGATAAATCGATATTTGCTCTCATCTAATCAGACAGGTCGTATGGTAATGCAACTGCAAACAAGATTTCATCTTTTGACAATCCATTGCAGCTCCCTATGCCAAAACACCTTTTAGTCACAAATCAAATGATACAGTGGCTGACAACATGTTGGGATCGCCTCGTTTCTCCCATCTCTGTTTTTGGAAAATTTCAACCCATTTATCTCTTTCCTACATCCAGCATAGAAGTGCACACAATGCGTGGACACATTCCTCTAACCAGCTCTGACGGAGAACCTGTCCCATATGTTTCTTATCAATTTGATTCAGATTTCATCAGTGTCTCCTGACTGCGATTTTTTGCCGTTGTCTCTAGGGAGCGCTTGAA